CTTTTTTGAATTCTTGATTGATTCAAGCATAAAATTTTGTTGAACTGTCATGTTCTTACGTGTAGAAATATCGGTGTGAACTTAGATGGCGAGGTTATAATTTTTAAGATGAAAGGTTAAGGGACGCCATGATGTTGCAAGATTAGAGCTAAGCAATTGATAAAATAACCTTCGTACTATTCGAATATTTTTTTTTTAAATCACTATAAATATCTGAATCTAGATCGATCGAGCTTTGAGTAAGGACAAGTCGGACGAACAAAACAATAGTAAGCGCCTGGGCCGTCTTGCTAGAAACAGCGTCTCAGCCGAGACGGGGGAAGAGAAAGCACTGTCAAAGCCAGCGTACGAGCTGAACGGGACTCAAACCTCGACTGAAGACGCTCGCGCGTTCCAGTCTTTACAGTGCTTTCTTTCACCCAGTCTGAGCTGAGACAGTGATTTCAGCAAGCTGGCCCCGGTGTCTTTCCTGCGCATCTATTTATTTTAGAAGGCATTACTAAGTTTTTTATATACTAAATAATGAAAAATAGTTCACTGGAAAATAAAGTTTATCATATAGAAAAGTAAACATAAAAAAGTCGGTAGGCTTTTCCGAGATTTTATACTTGAAGAGCAACTGAACCGATTAATCGAATATTTAATTAAAGGCCAGCGATTACTAATGAAGCTCTCTTTTATTTTGATATTAATTATTGACAGGCGTAAGAGAACTGAGAGCCTCTGAAACCCTTCACCTGAATCCAACCCCCGCTTCTGTCTCTTTCAGAATCCTGTGGTCATGCCCCTGTGTGGTATCCCCTTCCTTGCCCAGCGCTCTGCCCTGTCCACTACCGAGCCTGCCGCCGACCCTGCCACCGAGTCTGTCCAGGCCCCCGTGGTTGCACAATGTTTTAAATATATTTATTCGATCTAAATAAATTATGAACTGTCAAACGTTATGAACAATTCATTTGCATGCTTTAATGATTTCTAATGTGCCCAAATATGGTCGAATTGCCGCATTTATTAGATTTTAGTATAAGAAAGAAAACGGTGCTTCAGGAAAAAGGGAAATATACTTGCTTGGTTCTCTGCACTGTTTTTGTGACACTGGTTAGAACACTGGCTGAAAAATAGCATCTAATAATGTCATCGACAATAGATGCAAAAATTTGCCAGTGTATTAAACTGGATGCCAATATTAGAATAGCCGATATTTAAGCCAATGTTGGAAGAGCCAGTCTGTAAGGCGTTGGATGCCAATGTTGGTTCAGCCAACGGTGAAACTTCTATGCCAATATTGGATGAAAAAGCGGAAACCACGTTGGTCCAACGTGGGCTAGAACGTTGGCAAACCAGTGGTCCAACATTGGCATCAATGTTGGACCACCATTGGATCGGGTAGCGTTTTTCAAAAATGCCAACGTCAGACCAATATTGGAACCATTTTTTGCCAACATTGTGCCAACGGGGGTCCAACAATGGTGTGCTGCCTGGGCGAGCTCGGCAGAATATAGTAGGCCTAGCAGCAACACGGACTCGGCGCACCGTTGCTCCAGTGGTCCTTGGCCAAGACCGTCTGCCCATGACCGGCTGGCCAGCTGAATGGATGATGCCCGCGTGAACCTTGTGGACCGTTCCCGGATGAATAGCTTGATCCCTGAACTAAAGTTCGGAGGTCAATCTTTTCCCCTTGTCATCTCGATCTCCTTGTTTTCCGATACAGCGGTGACTAACGCCGTCGTCGAAAAGGGACTCTCATTGATTTTATCTCCTTGTTTTGTGTGATATAGAGCTAAAATAAACGCCATACGGATTACTTTCGCAACACGGTATGTATACTTTGTTATTTGTATGCCATTTTTATTCTGACCAACCTTTCTTTGCCGAGTGTCATGTCAGTATCGAGTTGCAATCGTAAAAGATCGGTCCAGAAGCGCTTACCGAAACGCGGTTTAAGGCCGGTTCACACATGCAGCGAAGCGCTGATGTAGCGCTGCTCACGTGGCGTCAGCTACTTATCGTCTGCCATGAGCAACAGTTTCGACGGTGCGATACAAAGCTGGGGAACGCTCCTGTCAGCACGCGCTTAGCGCAAGGTAAGCGCTCTGCTTGTAACGCTCCGCTTCATGTGTGAACAGGCCTTAACAGAGCGAATCCAGCACTTCGATCAAACGCGCGTGTCCGCTCCGAGTGTGAACAGGTATTTGCGAGGCTCTTGCTGACACTCTCGTAGTTAAAACATATCTTTTTTAACGTCGGCTCGCAGCTCGCGACTCGCAGCAACTAATACCGGCCGTGCCAGAAGCATGCTCGGGTCGTGTCGTGCGAAGAGGCGCAACGAGAACGAGCTCACTGTGGCCAACTACGCTTTGGCTTTCACCGCCAAGGCTTTACAATCCCGTTCAGGCCTAGGCTAATTCTGCCGGCACGCCGTATTGCCGCAGAACGGCGCTGCTCCTATGTCACAAGTGACGTCACGAGAACTTCCCACCATCCACTAGATGTGAATTTGAAATCGTTTAATTAGGTTTAAAACTAGTTCTCCGGTGTTTTACAGCACAATATTGATATTTCCGAGGCGGTGCCTGTCCCTATCCCTAGCCTATATTTATGCAGAAAGTTCGGCGCTAAAATTTCGTTTCCGTACCCCTTTAAAAAAAAAATAATGAAACATTTTTTTGTTGTTGTTTTTTTTTTGGGGGGGGGGGGCGAATGAACAGCAGAATATGGTAAAAAAACAAAAAAAAAATTATCAGTATGAATAAAAAAATGAAAGACGTTTATCTGATAATTAGAGCGCAGCCCTTGAGAAGGTGGATGGGAGGGTATGGAGGGGACGGTATGCCCCTCCTCCTCATCCGTATACCCTCTCCTCCTCCCTCCTCACCTACTCCTCCCATGCTCCTGGCCTCCTTTTCCTCTTCCTCCTCCTCCCCATCCTCCCGCGCGGTGCATTATGGGAAACGTCCCATAATGCAACTCGCGCGTCATCGCGTTGCATTATGGGACGTTTCCCATAATGCACCGCGCGGTTACGCCAACGGCGACGGCGACGCCGACGCCCCTCGAGCCGGAAACGGGCGCCTAAGAGCTGCGCTCTGAAATCGAACATGGCTTTTTTTTTTCTTAATTTCTTATTGTTCCTTCAAGTTTCTTAACTTTGTACAAGTTGGACAAGTTTGGAGGGGGGCAGAGACTCGTCTCGCAACCAACGGGTTTCCTTTTTTTCCTACCTCCCTTTTCCCAAAATCGGGACAAATAAAAAAATTGCATTAAAAAAAAAAAGAAACACTTACGAATGGTCTCTTCCAAGTCCTCAGCGAGAGAAGCTTTTGTTAGAATTTCACATGCATGGGGCTTCAAGTTCACAGTTTCGAGAATGTTCAGCATGTAAGATATGAGGCTGGGGTGGTCGTCAAGGTCATGGCTGTCCGGAATAAAATTCTCGCATATCTGGAACAGGGTTTAGGGTGCATTTAACCAAACTGGGACAACGGGAACATTGACAACTATGTCATTTCGGAAGTAAAAACGTTCGGGCTGTTGTACTATTTCTACTTATCTCGCAAGAACAAGTAGAAATAGCGACCAGAGTCGTGCGATAGCGTCACGTGCAAGCCACGTATTGGAGGGCGTCAAACTTCACCGTCCTGTCCAGCAGTACTCACTGACAGAATGGGAACGACAAGGAATCAGCTTTCGGATGTCCGGCCTCCAGCGTTTGCTCGTTACCTTCCGAGTTTGGCTGCTGTCCTTATAACCATTAAACTCGAAAAAGAAAAAAAGAAAAAAAGCCGGTATCACCCGTCATCGGGTGATACCGGCTGTCCGTGTACTTTGAAGGTCCGCAAGCATCTCCCTTCCTTCGCAATTGTGTACTGGTTTATAATAAAAATTGAAAAATCGTTTTGTGCTTGTCTTTTGTGCTCCCCTCCTTTCACAAACACGCACAGCTTCCGGGAATCGCAGGCTTGCATATCTAACCGTGTCGTTGCCTTTCAGGAACTTTCTTTTCAGTGTGCGAATGTGTCATCGATGTGCGGCTCTTGAATATGAAAGACCTTCCTAGTCGCTCTACTACCTGGTTTATTTATTTTTTAGGTAGCCGATATTGGAGCAAGTGGCATCCCGCCGAATGCAATTTGCTAAATATCGAATGACTCCACGCAATCCAACGGGGACATAGGTAGGGCTGGAAATGTGCTTGCTGATATCCTTTCTTGTATTTTATTTTTCAGATGGGCCGCTGCTGAACGTGGACGCGTTGTGCCTCGACGGCCTCGTAGTCTGGAGGCTGAATCACGCGGCACTATTCGATTGGAACCAAAGCTCGCACACCGTTAGAACTAATTGTTGTGCAACCTTTTCTTGTCTCGGACTTTTTTTTTTAGGTCATTTTTTGTTTTATTTTTGGCGGCGGGTTTTTCTTTCGCGAAGTATACTTTGCTTTGAAGAAGGCAAATGTGGCATTCGCTAAATGTTTTTTTTTCCTCTAGGTTGCTGTTGTTGTTTTTTCTCCCCTGTATACTTGTAGCAGTTATTAATAAAACTTGGATGAACGTTTCTCTGCTTCTGTTCCGTATTCGCCGCTTCACAAACACGCACAGCTTACGGGAATTGCAGGTTTACACCCCTAACCGCGTCTTTGTCTTTAAGGAGCTTTGTAGCGTGCGAATATGTGGCTTGAAAGCAATAAAAGACTTTCTCTGTCGATTTCCTCGGTCAGTTGATATCTCGGCGAATCGCATGCCGACAAATGCGATTCGCTAGGGTATCCACTAACTTCTACACGCTCCACTGGGAATCTTGTGTCCATGAGTCTGTTACTGGTGCCGTCTTGTATTTTTTGCTCGTTTTTATGTTTACTTGGTGGAAAGGGTTTTGTTTTCTGGTACTGTCTTGTATTTTTCTTTCTTTTCAGGTGAGCCGTGACTGACCGTGGATTCGTTCTGTGTCGATGGTGGAGTTGGGATTCACTCTCCAATCTCGCTCAAGTGTTTTAAGGGAGTCTAATCGTTTTGGAAGAGGTGACATATGAGCTCCCATACTACTAGTAGTACCAAGATGTTTCGTATAAACTTTCTATTTCTTTTAAATTTTGTCGAATTACGGTGGTTGGTCTGGTACTGTCTCGGTTTGTTGGGTTTTGTTGTTTCAGGTGCGGCTATGCCGGGGTTTGCGCGGGCCAAGTTTTGCGTGGACTCCTGGCTTTCTTCCTGGGGTCATGGCCTGATGCTGCGGTTCTGGGTCGTGCCGACTGCACGAGGAGCCGATTCCTGTCTGTGCTGATCACGGAGCTGCCGATCTTCAGGCCGCATCATAGGGTCTCTGAGCCTGCTTGAAGCCTGCAGGGTTAGGCAGAATGCCTTCGTCAGCGTCAGTCACTCCCGAAGTTGCGGGAACTGCCGAAGGCTGATACCGCGGACAACTTCAAGGTGTTCTCGTTTCGAAGGATCCAGAAGTCCGCCGCCGCTCCTGGAAGTCCGCCGCCGCTCCTGGAAGTCCGCCGCCGCTCATGGAAGTCCGCCGCCGCTCCTGGAAGTCCGCCGCCGCTCATGGAAGTCCGCCGCCGCTCCTGGAAGTGCTGCGTGAAGGCCGGTTGAGTCTGGTGAAGTTCCAGCAGATCATGGAAGCGATGTGAAGTGATTCCCCTGGTGCGCCAAGTGTCCTCTAAGACCTTGCTTTTCTAAATTAGTCTGCTGTGGATGTCAATAAATATTGATCATTGCCGTTTTCTGTTCGTTCTCATGCACGAGTTCATAACGGTTTAAAGGTGAGGTTTAGGTTAAAAATATTTAACCTATTGTACGTAAAAAAACGGAGGAAATTTTAATAAGAAAGTGGTAAACTTCGTATTAGGGAGAGAGGGGAGTTCTGTTAAAAAGGTAAGACTTGCGTAGTATTCTGTGAGAATATTCTTGACAACATCGATGGAGAACGGTAAGTTACGATCATGGCCTAAATACGCGAGAAAACGAATTTCCAGAAATCGGTAGTTCTCGGCCGTTATGCCCTATTCGGCCTCAACGCCACTCCCGGCCCTTCCGCTCATCTCGGCCGAAATGACAGTGACCCACGGGCGGTAGAGGAAGAAAAGGCCCCCTTTGTGGAATTTTTTATTGGCCTCGAGGGGGAGAATAAAACAAAAGCAACTGCTTCCTAAGCCTTTATTTGTCCTTTGGTAGGGTTCCCAAGAAGCGATTAGCGGAACCCCCTCTCCCGTCCCCGCTCCTGCGCAAAGTTTGCGAAGAGGGCGAGGAGGGTAAACCGCCGTCTCCTGATGTACTACAACGAAAATCCGCCCTCCCCCGTGCTCCTCCGGCTCCGGCAGAGATCGATATTTTCAACTTTCAGTGCGGCTCGCCGGGAAGCAGGAAAGCGTCACCGTTTTCGTCAAGGCGATGTCAATACTCTATCCCGGCTTGTTCCGGGTGACGCTTTGCGGGCTGGTTTGAACCGCCCTTTATTGATGATGTAATTTCGAACACCGTAATGAAAAATTTCGCACAGCCTTTTGGAATGAGATCGGTAGCAAGATAGTGAGTCCCAACAGGTACTCTTCATAGAGTTATCACAATAAACGCTAGAGGCTCAGCTGGCGCTAGTGTCTACGGGACTTCCGGTTGCAAATTGAAGCAGACAGCATGCAGTCTACATTTGCGGTGCTCCTGTGTATTCCTATGGGAAAACGCGCGTGAATTTTGTCTCTTTGCCGGAAAATAACATGAATAACTTTTGTCGTTTCGGTTCTACAGGATAGTATGTACCTCAGGGGCGGATCCAGACCTCCATTTTGGGGGGGGCGGTTCCTCGGCGTAAAACGGGGGGGGGGGGGGGGGAGTGTTTATATTTTTTGTGGAGTCATCGTTTTTACTAAACTCTGATAACATAATATTGATCTTGAGAGCTTTTGTATCGGTTTACCTGTAGGGGATGAACTCTTTGAACTTTCTGTGGCTACGCACACCAAGGCACACGCTCCCGTACTTTTGACTGCATAGCCTCAGAAAGCTGGGCATCTGGCCAACGCACTGTCTCTGCTCGTGCGGAAAATCACGTGCAATTGCAAGCTTACCAAAGCTATATTCACGTGCACGCCATACGTTCCTGCTCGTATGGGGCACCAGTCAGGACGCTACACTGTAGCGTCCTGACTGTAAATTTGACCGTAAAATTAACGGTCAAATACCAGGCAGCTGATGCTGCCAAACTTGTACAGTAAAAATAACGGTGCACTGTAAATCTGGTTTACGATAAATTTAAACGGGGACCGTAGAAATCTACAATCGGCCTTCAAATTTGCGGTAAAAAAAATTTACAGCGCGCCGTTATGTTTACGGTGCAATTTAAACGACGAGAAAGGTGGTAGTATTCAGGTTCATAACATCATTGTATAGTGATGTTATGAACTCAATGATGTTATGAACCTCGACTGAACCAAGCACGTTTTGAAGGCTTTCAGCAAGTTGGCCGAACATGTATTGTTTGTACAAGAAATGCCGACGTTGAAATTCATAAATGGTTTTTTGAACTGTTGATACCGGCATAAGAAGCGTTCCGTTGAACTTCAGGTACAAAAAAAAACAAGGTCGTATTTTACGGCCTTCCTTTTTTCTCCTGCAGACAGAGACATTAACACGTCGTAGTTATCATTAGGGGATTGCATCACGTTAACAGCACCGTCTTCATTAGAATCCGCACTAGTCGACCGAGTCGAAGAGTCCTCAACCTGAAGCGGGCCTGCAGGCGATGCGCCGTCGCCCAAGAAACCCGTCACTCGTAAATGCGCCCAGTTCAAATGTGACGTGATCGAACTATGATTTCACACCTTCTGACAGTTGGAGCACGAGCACGAAAACAAAATGCCGTCGGTGATGTGGCCTTTTAGATGTTTTAGCAAAGCCTCCCTTGTGTGGCACTCCTCTAGGCATGGTGGCAAAGTGCACTGAAAGCTTTCCAAACTCCTCGAAACAAACCAAACTTCCCTTAGGCGTACCAATGCCTATGTCTTCTCAAAATATGACACCTGAGAGCATCATACGTAACAAACTGGCGACAGCATCCTTCGTCCACACACTGAAGAATTCGAGAGCTGAAAACGTGCTCATCGAATTGCACAACCATCAAGCGTGCTTGAACAGAAACTACAAATTCTGCAAGCAAACATCTTTTAGAGTGTTGTATTTATGCCACCATTACACTATCCTTGCCAATCAAGCAGCAGATTGATAGTGAAATACCTGCCTCGAGTATCCAGTTGCCTTCCGCTCCAAATTTTCAGGTGCACAAAAATCCGGGAATGCCACAAACGAACGAGGACAAAATGGCGCGGAGACGGGTGGGAAGGCGGGAAAATGATCTGAACGTCAGCTTTTTCCACTTCTTTCCGCGTTGTCCCAACCAACGTTCCTTTCTTTTGTTTATGCTTCTAGCTAGTCGCATTGTTGCTCTACTGTTTGCTCTTAGTTCTCTTTTTTTTTCCTTTTTCAGTTAAGGCAGTTACGCTCTGCGTTGGCGCGGCTGGCGCGGACAAAGAAAGGAGGTGAAGGGGCGAGAGGAGACTCTCTGGGTTCCCGCAGCTTCCGAAAGGTCAAGAGTAGTGACCAATTAGCGAAGCGCGTCTTTTCTTTCTGTTTTCTTGCTCCATGAAGTTTTGCGTTTCCCTCTCGGTTTTTTTGCTCGTTTACGGTGCATTTCAGATAATTCCTCTTCACGGCGTACTTGTAGTTTTTATTAGCGTATAGCGCCGTAAATTTGACGGTTACTTTTTACAGTGTATGCTTTCGAAGCTAAGCGCTTGTGAGCCCGAGCATGCTGGGCGCCGATAAAAGCTGCGCACAATGCCTGGTTACTACTACTGATATGTCAAAAAACACCTCGACCGCACGAACACTCGTGTGGGAAAAGGTCCAAAACTAATAGATTGCGTTTGTCCAAAGTGAAGTAGGGTAAGATGGGCCAAATGAGACGCGGGGCAAAATGCGACAGTTGGAGTGAAGGCATCCAAACGAAAGTTTTTGTTTAGTGCCAGCTATCACCTAGACACAAGTCTCAAGCTTCACTGAGACGTGCCTTAGCCTGTTCACTTTGCGTGAGGACTTGCCTTTGGCAAGTCCTTTCCGGAGAAAAAGAAATGCCGATTTGAGATTGCCGAGTTTACCGCCCGTCAAAGAGGTGCATAATTCCGCGCGAGATTTCGCTTCGAGAAGTACGCCCCGGTTGGCACAGACTTTCTACCAAGGTATAATTTAATTTCATTCCTAAGTTTTATTCGCTTCATGCAGACCAAATTTGAGTGTTCAGCGTGCTTTTTTTTACGGAAATAATTATTCGCGTAACGGGATACGCGCGAGACAAAACGCGACAATGTGGCATTGTATGACGCGTGTGTCAATAATGTACCAGTTTCCTGGTTGTTCCTAAGTCATATTTTCCTCTCGGTGTCTAGGAGGATCAAAACGTACAAAAGAAAGACAACAGGGGCTTCATGGCGCATAAGTAACACTACGAATGCTCTTGAAAGTGAAGCAACAGCGTCACTCCCTTCGCGTTGCCGCCACACTTTTTGGCGTACCAAGGGATGTGCTTCAAAAGCGAGCAAAAAGACAAAAATATAAAAAAACTATGGCGCCACAAAAAAAAAAAAAATGGCAAGGCGTTTGGGGGGGGCGATCGCCCCCACCGCCCCCCCCTTGGATCCGCCACTGATGTACCTTTATTGGTATTGTGAATGTACGGCATTTTTCTTTACCACTGAACGATGTTAAACTTCGCTCTATTTTAGGCCCAAACCCGTTTCAAGGAAGGTATGTGAAAACGAGCGACGATTCTAAGCAAAATAACGATCGAAAGGAATGTAGAGTGTGTTCAAGGTTCGCTAGCATTTCGGTGGTGCTTATATATTGCTAATATGCCCGTCCTGTCATTCGATTAAAATGACTCCGTCGTGCATCTTTACGATCGGTTAAAGAAACATTCGAACGCAAAAAAAAAACAAAGCACGTGAGCTACGAAAGGTGTGTCTTATTAGTATTTCCTATATCGGGCAGTTTTTATCGGGCACCTGCTCTCTGGAACCCCCTATTTGCAAAGATTTGGGGCGTGCGGGTGATGATTTGAACCCAGAACAAGCATCTTCGCACCTATTCATGAGCAGAAAGAATAAAGCAGTACTTATTTATTGCAAATCTAACTATATTACGTGGCTTTCAATTTATTTTGATCGTCCGCGTGCACAAGGAGTTCCTTATCCGGTGTTACTGCGTAGCTCTTGCCGTCTCTCTTGGTTTTCCACATGTCCTTCGTTCGTTAGGCACGTAATCCCCCATGCTGGAAAGCGTCGACGCCGTGTTCGCGCTAACAGTGTCCGACAGTGCACATAAATACACGTACAAAGCGGTTTTAGCACCCTTTTTAATGCCACAAATTTTAAATAAAAACGCCGTAACTGACCAGTTATTTCGCCTCCGTGACTGAGAAATGTTCCAATGTGCCTAGTACGTACAAATTATTCGTGATATTTGCTCTTATAATCGAGAGCAGAGAGAAAATGCACTCGCTTTTTCCCATAGGAATGCATTACCG